TTGATTTTTCCGTACATTTCTGCCATATGTACATTAACTGACAGTCACCACTGATAAGCTACCACTAAATATTGTAGAAACTTAATTTCCTGTTAAGTTGCTTTGCAACGATTTGTATCGTGAAAATAAATACAAATAAACTTGAAATGAATTGAATTGAATGTTTAAAAAGAGGTGAAAACAATACTGTACATGGAATGCAAAAAATAAATAAAATAATAATAATAATTTTAAATAATAGTAAATAAATAAATTTGTACATTGCAATGTTATTTTAGTATCATTGAGAGGCTATACTAGTTTTAGTAACATTTTGAATCGATTTTCTATTTTAATTTTAATTTTAGTTAAAGTGATAGTAATTTTGTTGTTTTTTGTCTATATAGTTTTTAATATTCAGTTTTAGTTATTTTAGTAGAGTAAGTTGAACCAAATTAAAATGAGAAGTGTTGCCTTAGCATCTAACTGAAACAGGTTTGTTATATTTTATTTTATTTCCATTGTTAGCGTTTATTTTATCTCAAGTAACTTTTTTTATGGTTTTAATATTAGTTTTAGTTAGCTATAATTACCCTGCTAAACTGGCATGACTTTCTCTTGAGATTTTGCTCGTTAAACACTGATGTTAAGGGTTGTGCCGCTGATTTATTCCCTGATGTATTGAGAGTTGTGGGAATCCGTGGACTAATACATGCTGTCTGTATCTCAAGTGGGATTCTTGCGTCTAAATGTGTAAATATTGACGTAATGACAGATGCGTTTGCCTCGGAGCTGTTATTCTGATAATGTAGCTTACAGACTGGCATCGTTAATGGAGTCTTTGTTTAGTCTTTTTATATTTTCATAATCAGTCCTTGACTCACTCAGCAGAACCTGGAACAATGAATGCTGTTTATTTTCCAGCGAGTAATTGGTGTGAGGAAAGTGGGTCATGTGTCGTCCTGTGTGTGTGTGTTTGTGGCAGGTTTCGGCTAACATCGCTCTGGAGGCGCTGGCGCTCCGGCCTGACGCTCTCATGGGTTTATTGTGTACGGTGATGCAGCGGGCTCCTCTGCTGCCCCCGGTGGCCAATGCGGGTCACAGCAGCGCCGCATCCGAGCACAACACCCTCCTCAACTTCACATGCCACACGGTTAACATCCCCATGGGTCCCATGGGTCAGATAAACCAGGTGAGGCTCGTCACAAACCGTCCGATGTGTCCAAAAACCAATATTCTCAGTGAGTATAATATGTTATTTAAATGTTGTAATTTTACCATTTTACAACTATGTATTTTTAGGTTAAATATTAATTTTTAATGTTTTATAATTGTTATAAAATAAAATGTATTATTTTTATATATTTTGATATTTTATATTCTGTCTTTTTTATATTTTATTTAAATCATGCAATTTTTTTTTTCATTTTAGAATTATAAATGTTTGGAATTGTAAATGTTAATTTAAAATAAATAATGAAATATTGTCGTTTTTTTAGAATGTTAAAATATTTTACAATTTATATATATTTTTATAAACTTTTTTTTTTTTTTTTAAGTTTTCCATTTGAAAATTATAAATGTTTTCGATTTTAAATATTCATTATTAAATATTTCATTATTAAAAAAAATATATATAATTGTGAAATATTTTATAGTTTTTAATGTATTTTTTATATTCTATAATTTTTTAACATTTTATTCAAATGTCAGAAGCAGGTGGAATTTATAACAGAGGGGAGGGGACATACTTTGGACAAAACTGTTTTCCCAAATGAGAAAGATTGTACATTTATATTTATATTCTATATATTATATTTATTGTTTTTATAATTGCATATTATTGTGTGACACTCTTTGAACACATGAGTATCACACAGTATTTCTGAGAGTGATATATATACATTAAGTTTCTCCTTGAGATTTGGGGTTCAGTACATCATGAGCTGATCGCGGGACATGGCTTTAATGAGGAGGAAGAGTGAAGTTAAGTATAAATCAGACAAACACCGCAGGCTGATCTCTGTCTAACAGTCTCGAGGTCTGTATAAGTGATCATCAGTCTGCCCTGACGCACACTAACAAGTGAACGACTCGCTGACTTCTGTTCCAAATGGATTTTGTTAGTGTCAGTCGCCTCTGGGAGATTTAGATAATATCATAATCTGATCACATCACTCACACACAGATTCAAATATTACACAGTCTTTCTGTCCTCACAGAAATATTTCAGAAATCAAAAGTCTGTCATTGTATAGAACTCCAAAAATGCCTCATGCAATATATATATATGTGTGTGTGTGTGTGTGTGTGTGTGTACATTTTAATAATTTAAATACTAAAATTATTAGTGTGTGTGAGTGTGAGTGTGAGTGTGTGTGTGTGTGTGTGTGTCTGTGTGTGAGTGAGTGTGTGTGTGTACATTTTAATAATTTAAATATTAAAATTATTAGTGTGTGTGAGTGTGAGTGTGTGTGTGTGTGAGTGAGTGTGAGTGTGTGTGTGTGTGT